TTCATTTCCAGAGAAATGGAACCGTATGTCCACAGAAACCTGAACATGAATGTTCATAGCAGGATTACTCATGATATACAAAATATGGAAACAACCCAACTATGCATTAACTGATGAATAATGGGTAAATAAGATATATTATATCCAAGCAACAGAATATTATTCATCAGTAAGAAAGGAATCAAGGAATCAAGTAGTACTTGTGCTACACTATGGATGAACCTTGAAAAGAGTATGTAAGTGAAAGTACTCAGTCACAAAAGGCCACCAATCATGTGACTGTATTTAAATGACAGATCCAAAATAAGGAAATTCAGAGGGACAGGAAGGCTATTAGTGGTTGTCTAGGGTGGACGGAGGCATAAAGCTTCACCGTTGAAACCCACCACCCTCACCTCTGGAGAAAGATGAGGTGGTATGCTTTAGTAAAGACTTACAGCCTCAGGAATCCTGTATAGGGTTACCGTGAATCAAAACCGGCCTGATGGCTGTGGGTGTGGAGAAGGGATGAAGAGGCTGGGGAAATGAGGAGTGACTGATAATGAATGAGCACAGCATTTCTTTGGGACCCAGGAAAATGTTCTAAATATTGCTTGTTGCTGATGGTTGCAAAACATTGACTATACTAAAAGCTATTGAAATCACATTTCAAGTGGGCAAATCGTATGGTCTATGAATTATATCACAACAAACTTTTTTTTAATTGTGAGAATAAATTAAATTCATACATTACTTCTGATTACCCACCCACTCTCATACAGCCAATCCCAACAGTGAGTGGCTCTATAGGACAGAGTCGAACTGTTTCCTGGGGTTTCCAGCTCTGCCCATCTTTACAGAAGCAGACCGCCTCCTCCTTGTCCCACAGACCACAGGTGGGTTGAAACTGCTGGCCTTCCAGTTATCACCCCACTGGAGCATCATGCTTAAAGTAGGCAGGGTTGGTCACATACCAAGTAAGATCAACCAAATCCTCACTTGGATTCAGAAGGCAAAAGTGAAAAAACAAGGCCAAGTCAGTGATATTGATTTCCTTAAAAATTAAAGATACAATCTGGCCATTGGATAGGTCCCTAGCTTAAGAGATGCTCCAACCAACTGCTGAAGAAGTAGCTTGGATTTTATTACTGGAAGGGCAGCATGTCTCCAGTATATAATCTTTTGTAGGCCACAATTTCTTTTCTCTCTCCTTTTTCTTTTACATTTAAAAGTAGATGTCTATTTCATTACTTATTTTGTCAGTCAGTAGTTGTTAAAATACATTTACTGATTGTTTCCATTTGAGAATTCATTGAATTTCTTCTGTTATTAATTTAAATAGATTCATTGACATACAATTCACAAATCATACAGCTCAATGCCTTAAAACGTGTTAAAAAGAGTTGTGCAATCAGCACCACAATCCACTTTAATGTCAGCCACCACTTCTAAAAGCAGTGTCTCTGGTTCCACTACTTGTCCATCACATTATTACACAGAGGAATTAAGATGTCAATTAATGGGTGAGGCAGTTCAGACATACAGTCCCATGACCTCAAAGCATTGCTTAGGTCTAGCCTGGGCCTGGTATGAGGCAGCTGTAGGATTGCTGAAGAAAAGTCTTTCTGTTTGATGGATGCTATGGTCATAAGAAAATAAAGGTTGGAAACGTCTGATCTGTCTTCCAAAATCCAAAGTGTTTTCTGGCTAAAGTGATGGATTGACATATTTTACAACACTAAGCCTTCGGTTTGAAATCGGTCCCCCAAAGGCCTGATGCTATGCTGGCAGAAGGGAGCAATGAAATCATCGAATGAAGAGCTAACCATCTCCAGCCTCCTCTTCGTAACCCTTCCTCAGGACGCCAAATTCATAAACCCAATCTACCCAAATGATGATGTAAACATAGATGAAGTAAACTTAGCTCCCCATTTCCATCTCCTTTCAGAACATACTCAATTCTAATTTGCACAGATGTAATTTATTTGTGTACAGTGACATTTTCAGATATTGACATAATTTTAAAGAAAACAGATGTAAACTAATTACTTCCATTAGATGGAAGAAATAGCCCTTCAATTACCTTCCATTTGTTTTAAATTCTTATTTCCTTTCATCATCTCCATCATTTATAACTATAAACTTTTTTTGTCTCTATTACAAGTAGCCAGGGCTTTGAACCAGAGTGACCTGGTTCTTTCACACCAATGTAGTGAACTTAGATTTCTACATTTGGGTGATCTCAAACGATGACCCTGAATGGAAACGCTTACAGGTCAGAGCCCTGCAATGGGAAACCCAAGGTGGTGGTGATGGCGACACCCTTTCAAGGGCTGGTGTGGAGAGTTTAGAGAGCGTTCTACAACTGCAACAGCCCAGTGGGCCTTGAGCATCTTTGAGCAAGCAGGGCAGCACACTTGGTTGCTATGCCCCACATACCCTGCCCTTGCTTTCTAAGAGGGAGACGAAGTTTCTAGCAAGACTTCGACCTGCAATTTTTCCTCTTCTATTTCCCATTCCAGTTCATCCACATGTTTACAATTTAGGATTGTTTTAGTGTCGGACTCAGAAAGAACCAGTGCAAAGGCCAGCATGTCACATGCACATAGCTTGATTTCGGATCAGTCACCTTAGCTGAGAGTGTACAGAAATGTCCCACATAGCTGTGCCACGTGCTCATGACCGAGAACACTCAAGACTCATGGATAAAAAAGCCCCACCAGAGGACCTAAGACTTTGAAAAACAAATCTATGACGCATTGAGTTGTGATATGAATTGGAGCATCTGTTCAGTTTTTGTGTATGAAAGTGACAGGAATAAATGAGCTACCAACTGAGGGGGTAAAAATCTGATTTCTGAACTAAAAACATATTTTTCACCTTGACTCTTCCTTGCACCCTGGTGTGAAATATAGAATGCTCCATTAGGATTCTAGACCACGACATCTATTCACTGCACTACAAACCTGTGGAAATGAATTCTACTGGACATATGGTCATGATATGTTTTTTCTCCCAATGATTTGGAATTCATTCAGTGTCTACTTTCACTTTCATAATGGGAGTCCCTCAGTGGCTCAAAGGGTTAAGCATTCATCTGCAAATCCAAAGGGTGGTGGTCTGAATGCCACCAGTGTGCCTCGGGAGAAAGGCCTGGCCTTCTTGCCTCGGAGGGTCCTGGCCTTGGAAACCCGATGGAGCAGTTCCCCTCTGCATACGTGGCGTGGCTGTGAGTAGGCCACAGCCCCTTGACGGCAGTGGGTTTGACTGAGTGTTTCCAATGGCGAACTTCCATCAAGCAGGCTGGTTTATGGCAAACAGACCACACCTTCTTTATCAGCTTATCAGCTTCCACTCGCACAAAAGCCCCCCTCGTGCAGCTGCGGTTTCTGAGTTGTTTTGCAGTTAAAGACAGTGCCAGACCTGGGGACGCTTTCTCAGCCAACTGAGGTGAGAGTGTTGTTTTGATGGATGGGAATACTGCTTTGGAAAAGTCCAAGTCTCCTGGCAGCTCCTCAGTGAACTAGTACGGCAGCTGTGCTAGAGGTCATGAATATTACATAAGGACTGCCCGTGCATCCAAACCCACCCAGCATCTCCACACCACATCCCCATAGCAACACACGGAGACTTTACTCCTCTCAGACACGGAGCGGCCGGCGGGCGGAATCTCTCTAATGCCACCTTTATTGCGTTCAGCAGGTGAACACGGTATTTACACTTTCCAAAGCAGTGATTTCTTCCAAAAGAAAACCACCACCTTGTAGAACTAGGTTCATTCCGAAGCGGTCGGGTTACCACAGAAACCCAACGGCTTTACACCTGGACAACAGTCTATGGGGTAGAAACAGCTGCTATTCAGAATGATTCCCTGAGGAAAGGTATATAGATCATGACAGTTAGTGTCATGAGACGTGCCCTGAACGACAGTTTCCAGCTATACACTTCCTAGGTGATTTCCAGCAACCTTCCATGATTTTTAAATTACATTTCCCCATGACATTTTGAAGCCCCCCATCCTACAAGGAGCTCCGGTGGCACCAGAGTTAAGCAGCAGTCTGTGAAGTAGAAAGGTCAGTGGTTCTAACCCACCCAGTGGCTCCCTAGGAGAAAAGCCCTGTGGAGTGAGCCGACGCTGTCCAAAGGCTAGCAGTGCTGCAGAACCCACACAGAGCCTGGAGCAACAAGGGGCATCCATCGACCCACTTTAGTATGCTGGGATGGTAAAGAAGCTGGTCCAAGGGAAGACATTAGTTTGTAAATGTAAACTTTTTAAAAAAATAAAAGATCATTTTATTGGGGGCTCTTGTAACTCTTATTACACCAATTGTATCAGGCATATTTGTACATATGCTGCCATCATTCTTTTCTAGACATTTACTTTCTATTGAGCCCTTGGTATCAGCTTCTCTCCCCACCGCCCTTGTGACACTTTGATAGATTATAAATAAGACATTGGTTTTCTGATCAATACAATTTTTCCTTGCTTTGTTTTCAGAAAGCATAATGCAATCCATTTTTTTTAAAAGTAAGAAACTACTATTAGGGAGTAAACATTGGAGGGGGGAGGGGGGTTGTTCAAGTCTGAGAAAATAAACGTTAGCTTGGGAAAAGTTTGTTTCTGTTTTGCAATCTGTTTTTGCAAATGGATATATGGTTTCCAGGAGGAAGGGTGGTGAAGCAAAATCATCTTATTGTAAGATACAGCTTTTCTTCTTCAGAGATCCAGGGAGCCTTTGTAAATTCAGGATCTGTTTCTGTGTGCACATCAATCATCTACTCATGGAAACAAGTGGCTTGGATAAAACAAGAGAGAAGTAAAGACCACTCTCATATCTCACTTCTTTTTTTTCCGGTCAAAGAAATTCCCTTTTCCTATACCTTTTGTACGTGGCCGGACAATGGAATATTTGATTAGATCACGCACACGCTTGCGGACAACCTGCCCCAGGTGGCACAGTGAGGGCAGAGCACCGCAAAATTTGCAAAGAAACCTGCTAGCAAGGAAGAGACGGTCATACCTTTGCTTTTTCCAACTGGGCCTGGGCCTGCCGCTCTGCCTCTCTCCGCACGGCCTCCCGGTCTTCCTCCAAAGAGACATCGGAATCGGATGGACGACTGGTGTAGGAGTCTGCCGAACCCTGGGGAGCAAAAGGGGCATTTTACATGAGAGTCAGTCTATGGTATCTGCAGGAGAAGTAGGTCGCTTCCTGGCTTGTGCTATGAATTCCTGAAAGGAGGAGAAAATAATCCATTTTGGGGGGAAGCACACCATCTACAAATCCACGCTCCAGTGGGCAGCTCATGCAATAATGGGGGCAGTTCTACCTACCAAGTTACTCTTTCTTCCCAAGCCTCCTATTCAGATTCGTATCTTTTTCTTGGGCCAGGCAATTATTTTCTATTCCACCAACTCCATGGTGCAGTGCAGGGCTGAAGGGCACAGAGGGGTTCAAGGGTAGCTTCCAGAAGAACAATCAACACATGGAGACAGGTATTTAGAACTGGGGAGAAGGTCTCACCCAATTAAAAACTCGCATGAGGTATACACTTGAGGTCTCCAAGCTGCAAGCACCATGATATGCCTTCCACTTTCTTCTTCAGCATCATTTGGTACTTTCCTATTCACCTAGCATCTCCCAAGACAAAACGGCAAGGCACCAGCAGATAGCTCCACTCCATCTCTAAGCAAGACATTTTGAAACACTTTCCAATCCATGTCGAACGGATGTCTTTAGGAATCACCTGCCTAGAATATTTAGATGGCAATCCATCCAAACGCAGGAAAAGGAGCTCCACAAATAAAATGATAAGGAATCTCCCGAGTTCCCTCTCTCATCACCATGATCAGATGAACTCCATCCAACCAGCCGCTGCCTTCCTCCCTCCCCGCCACAGCAGCGGACGCATCAGCCAAACCACGTCTCCCCCAAATGAAAACCCAGAGCTTACACAGATATCGGAAGTCTTCAGCCGGCCCCCCTTGGCTCTTTTCAGAAGCCTGATCCAGGTGGCCTTCATGAGCCAGGCAGCGCCTTCAAGGTCCGTAGCGGCAGCCCCGGGCAGAGGTCCTCAGAAGGCTGGCGCGCGCCGCCGCCGAGCCCTTAAGAGCCCCGGCTCCTTCCCCAGCCATGCTCCGAGCCAGCCCCCACCCGCCACCGTCCCCCGCTGCCCCCGGGGACTTTCGCTCCGTGCACCGCCGGAGGACACAGATCCAAGAGGACTCTGGTTTTCCCACTGCCCAGCAGGCGCGAGGGACCAGGGAGAAGCAATCAAATGCTTTCTATTGCTTTAAAAATACAGAACACTTCAAGTGCATTCAAGGAAAAACAGCAACTCATTCTAAACTTGGTACTTCCCTAAATGTTTCCTGCCCGACTCTTTCTTCGTTAATGGCAATTAATTGCACGAGGACCTTTAAAAAAAAAAAACACCTCCGTGCAAAAAACGTCTGCAGTGACATTTGCAAGTGCAAAGTTCAAGCCTTATCTTCAGCGATCTGGAGCGGGTGGGAGGGAGGAGGGCGCACTCATTGCACTGGGCATGCCCAATGTTTAGCCTTTTGACGCGGACGCTCACATCACACCGTTCATCTATGTCAAATTGTCATTTTACATCCGAAGTGTAAACAGCTGGAAAGGTCTTTGGGCTCTATAGTAACGAGCACATGGTATATGTTTGTCATGTTTCTGTTTTAGAGGAAATGTTCTCTCAAACGAGGGTAAAAAAGCATGTAATCTTTCCTGGGGTGATCACTTTTCAATACTCGCTACAGAAAAGTGTTTCTTAGCCAAGAGATAAATCGTGTATAATAGATCCGTGTCTACAACACTGAGCAGCAAAAAATACAATAATACTCATCGCTCTCATGTAACACTGCTATTTATTGCTTGTGAGTTCTACAAGATCTGAGACAGGGATTTGACCACTTAGTAAATAGGACACGAAGGAAGGGCAGCTCTCTACAGCAAGGATTTGAACTGAGCTCCGAATCACTTTGAACTGTTCCCTCCTCCAGTGGAGAAACTACCAGGTGATACAGTCACTGTGGTCATCACAGCAATAGCCATGAGGCCATCTCAAAGCTTCAATGATCTACTAGCTGGACTTCGTTTTATGGAATAATCGATCTTAACCTCTTGTTTCAGATACAGTACCCGAGGCTTCAGAGGGAAAGATGCAAAAATTACCAATTTCCTGTGCTAACGAAAAATAGATTTCAAAATACACACTTTCAGGTTTCTCAGCGTAAACACAAACTTCTAAGCTACCACTGCAGTCCACACTCTGAATTCCATAGCCGTTATTTTGGAGATACCTGCAGTGAAAGGAAGGACTCCTCTACAAAATCCGCCTATTCCTTTCCTCCTTCCCATTCCTTCTTTCTTTCTACTTCTCTCCAAATCCCTTTCCTTCTTCCTCTCTTCCGCCCTCCTGCTTTTTTCTTTTTTTTACTATTCTACCTCCTTTGCTTCCCACATCCCTGCCTGCCTGCCTCCCTTTCTGCCTTCCTCTACATCCTAGGCTGAAACCAATTTCCACGACACAAATATTAAC